TATCATATTATTAAATATTGATAATACAACTTCATACAGGTTTTTCGCAGGAGAATACTTCATCCAATTGGCATCCAAATAACATATCAGCAAAAATGCTGTTTGCGTTTTTTACTTCAAAGTGGTTTTTCAGCACGTTTCATATAAAATTCCCCACAATGCACCATTGCATGCGCTTCGCCAGTGGGTCGACTGGAGTTTTGAACATTTTTTCCGTCAAGAGTGTGTCAATAGTACAACATACGACTCCGAACCTTGCGCAATTTGTTAAATTGGTAACTTTTACAACTATCTACAAAGCGCCGTCTTTATCTACTGATCTAAGTACATTTTTTTTTGCTAAAAGCGAACGCTAATCTTTCCTTAGAAAGTTACAAACTACGTTATCGGATTAAAATAAGTACAAAATTAATGGCGCTTTTCGTCAGGCCCTAGAGGCAATGGTTTATATCCAATGATTTGCGAGACATATTGATGACTTAAACGTTTTGCCTCGAGGTTTGGTTTGCAAACGTAATAGGAACATTTTAACGACTTTTTGACATAAACTTCAAAAACCTTTTTACATTTCATCGTCACTTATTTAAAATTTTTTTTGAAATATCAAAGGTTTTTGACAAGTAACATATTTGGGGCCGGTTAATTAGCATTCTTAAAGGTTGAAACGTTTTGTTTTTTTTTGTCGTTTGACACAAGCATTGACCATTGTCTCTTGATTTTACCAATTCAAATCACTTAGATTTGGAATTTTTGGAATATTTCTTTTCTAGCGGATGTATAATAGATTTTACCGGTGATTTTACTCATAAAATTCAGCGACAGACTTTTGCGCAATTATTTTTTCGCGACATTTTAATTTTTTTTTTTCTCTGGTTTTAGTCACAACTCATTTAAAAACCAATTTAATCTCATTCAATGTTTTATAACTCTTTAAATTACCCAATCAGATGTTGATAAAAACTCGTTACTTTGTATATTAGTATTTAGTTCTTTATTTTTTTTGCGATTTGTGGTAAATTTGTGAATGTAAACACTTCGTTTTGGCAAATTGAAGGAAAAATGACCTTGTTTGACAACAGATTTTTTATGAAAAAACCTACGTGAGATACTTTGATTTTGCAAAAATTTAATGTACTTTAAGTAAGGCTATCCATTTTAATTAAAAGCTTTCGCTCATCGCTTGTGGAAGTTACATCATAAAAGCTTCAAAATTACGAGATTATTACAGCGATGGAAGCTCCCCTGCTAAGATTGTCATCTTACCTCTCACAACTTGACCACTGAATTTTAGAGTGCGGCTTTTTTGAAGAATTTGGTTTCATGGAAAATGCTATTTTTTATGCATTTTATGTAAAAGGATTTTTTGCGATTTTTACTTTAATTGTAACTCCTAGGTTTTCTTGTGTAACAAATGTTCCTACCATTTTTCGTATAGATTTCAATGATTTTTCCTCTTTCTGTTGTTAATGTTGCTGTTGTCAGTCGAAGGATTTTTTTGTGTGTAACAAATATAATGTTCCTACCATTTTTTGTATAAATTTCAACGATTTTTCTTTCTTTTCTATTTTTTTTTTCACTTATATCATGAATATATTTCATCTGAACTTCGCTTTATAGAAATCACTAAGCTAAAAGTTACAAAATGCATTGAATTTTGTCACTTTGTCTGCTACGGAAAGCTGTTATGATCAATTGTGTCATGGTTTGTATAATTTATGTTTGAATTTCTTTCCTAATCCAAGTCACCCAAGTTTGAATTCACTAATTTTTTTCCTGATTTTTTTGTTGTGTGAAAATGAGGCTGCCAGAAATAGGCCAAATTGGATGTTTTAATTATTTTTTTAACGAAAAGGCCAACGAAAATATAAAAGGGGMTACTTTGTTCTCTATAAATTAAAAGAAGAACTACTAAATTGTATTCAGGAAACTAGGAATTTTTATGTTTTATGTTTATGCACGCGATTCGAGTTCTTAGTCTTGCATGGGTTAAGTTTTTTTCGTTCACTCAATTAACGCCTTAAAAATAATATTTGTAAAAAAAAATCGTTTTTAGAACGGGGTAACATCAATAATATATTAAAAATACCATGTGCCTGTGGTATAATGTTATCTTTTGTACATAAATAGAGAGACAAAAATATTCATTTTAAAATTATGTTTTTCTTTTCATCTCATTATATTATGTATATTACAAGCAAAAGCCTAGCAAGATGATCTATATGTAAAAATTAGTTCTTTAGCGAGAAAATGTTTGCTTAAAGTTAAAGAAGTCCAATATCTAGTTTTCCATATMATACAAAGCCACAAAATTTTCTGAGCTTCAGTTTTCGCAAGACAAATGTTCCTRATTGAAAATTTAAGACATTGTTTTCGCGTTTTGATGSTGAATTATTTAAATCTACAAACAGCAAAAATATAGGARAAAAGCAAATGAACAAAAGTAAAAAATATTGTACATCAAAAATTTTGTCAATAAAAATACAAAAAGTTTTTTCTTGGGTTTTGTATTAGTACAAATATCAAATATTATGTAAAACTGTAGACAGACTAGTTTCAATAATATTTTAAATCTTGAATATGTGTCGATTCCAGAAGCTGGGATATTTTTTCATGAATTTGGCTGGAATATTCTAAATAAGACGTCGCGCAAATAGATATTTCCTATTGTCAACAGTATACAAAGTATTTGAAATGTTGGCCACAGATATAAACATGTTCACTGTTTCAAAATAGCTTTTACTAAGCCGTGAATCCTCGYACTGTTCGATAAAATCACTATGAAATCCTTCCCATTTTTTTTTCGTCTTGAGCTCGATTTCTTTCTTTTCTGCGTGAATTCATATACGGATTGATGTGTTTTTGTTTACTTTTTGCTTCATATGTCAGCCATGAATTTCCATAACTCATTTCCAAGTAATACACGACTCCAGTATTGATATCTTCATATCCCAATCGAGCAAGAACGCTTGGAAACCGGATATCTAAGCACAGGACACTTTATAAGCTAACCTCGGTGGATTTTACCGCGTTTATTTCCAGGAGACTCCATAGAAACAACGGTTTTCTTGCTCTGAAGCTTGTGTCAATACCAAATCATACTCGCAAATCCAATATCCATTTTTATTTTGTCTTTTCGGATTTCTCGGGGCTTTCGTCGTTGCCATCTTGCTTCTCACTGGCTAAGATAGCACAGTCCTTTGCATGTTCWGTCGCTTCAGGATTTCCTAACTGACATTTACAAATAATTTTTCCACAAGCATTTCGTCTRCCTAGCCGCGAACACGCAAGAAAACTCTTCTCGGCGTTAGCTTCCTTCGCTCCAAGCTCTGTCTCCATTATAACTTGCGACGAAATACTGAAAAGCGACTTTTCCTTTTATAAAATAGCCACATGAGGTATTTTCAGTTCATTATTTTATAACTTATAAAACAGCCTAACCAGAGCGCTTGAATCTACCTTAGTAAGCCTCTTTTGTAGGAATGGGAAAAAATTATTTCCCCGTCTTCAGCCACTAAGGATTTTGAAATTAGCTGTAGTCAATGCAGTTCCCTGTTGTCTAGATCAAAAAACATAGGGCTATTTTTAGCSTTAATGAAAAGCGACTCAAACTCGTRGTGAGAATTTAAACCTTGATCACCTCACACCTGTCTTGTGTAGTCCAGAAGGTGGACTGCTAGTTTTAACTTCAAATGCCAGCGAAAAAGATGCTTCAAAGTAACCAGTTTCAATTCGTTATATAATGAAAGTCGCTTCTGGTCGCTTTATTAACGATTTTTTGCACCTGTAAAATCTAATAATTTTCCCGACTTTTGCCAAGCTTTGACGTCATCGTTTCCATGGCGATGGACTGAGAAATGATTGGTGTGTATTTTGGGGCAGGGTCAGACCAATAAATAAGTTATTGCGCGAGGCGGATGTAATCTTCTTAAAAGACTTGACTTTTATGGTCAATTGTCGCCCAGCGCTACCGGAATTATAACCACTGTTGGCATAGTGAATATCTCAGGACGCGTTGTCATGCGATGTTCACGAATGAAAAACGGTAATTCTCGTGTATTCGGCACGTAGTCGGGAAGCATTCGGCAACGTCTATTTTTTTCTTGATCATATATAGTCCGTAATTCAAACCCCTTATAGTTTCTTAATTCTTTTCTTTCTTTCTTCTTTTTTTCCATTTTTTAACCTCGCTGCTTTTCAAACCCTTCTCTTCAAATTATTCCCGTTTTTCTTTATTCATAAGTCCYTTTTCCTATTACATGAAATCACTTTCGCTCAATTGATTTTATTTAGMATATTTTTCTTCATTTGCTCAAGAATAATTACAATTGTAATAAGTTAATTTCTCATAAATAAATTTATAAATATCAATGTCAACTTACAATGAATAGCAATATATATAAATATAGAGAACATTACATTGTCGCTTGGAAATTAATACGGATTTTATCTTCGAGTGTTGAAAAGATTTCGCACGAGTAAACGTAGCCCTCCTCACACAAGAGAATATGAAATCTGTATCTTCAAGCGACCACGTAATATTCGTTCAATTAGTGTTGATAGCGGCTGAAAATCGCATACCACTAGTGACTAGGCTACAAATGCTTTCAAGCAATAATTCTAAATTAATTTTGTTTCAGCAAATTATGCAGCTATACTCGTGTAGTTCGTTTCAAATCATCCTTTGTTTTAGAAAATACTGAGATTCCGTGTCCACATTTCCCATTTAAAAAGGAATGTGGTACCAATAAATAAGAAATTATCTATTAAATATTAATAAATTATTATTTTTTTAGGAAAATACTTTTACATAAAATGATACGAGTTTTTTTAGTTAAATATCTGATTTAGTTTTTTTATGCCCGCAAAATTCTCCCATAAAAGCTGTTTCTGTGTTTTCTGTACTAAAACGACACCTATAACTAAGATAAAGCAAAAACAGCTTTGGGGAGACTATTTTAGCAGATATGAAAAAGTGCGGGAATTACAGACTCCCATCATGCTTTGTCGTACAAAATTGCGTCGCTTCAGTTTGACAATTTCAGCTGGGTTTCTTCAACAAACTCGTATGTTATGTGAACATGCAATCAAAATATGTTTAATGACGTTTAATTACCTTTGAGAACCGATGTCGTTGCCAACGAAAACTCCAACGTACTATTTCAGTAATTGATTGATGTCATGATCATAATTTACTACATGCAACTATTTCAACAGACTTCCAGTACGGAGTCGACATCGAGCATTACGATGCCGAAATGCATTACTGGGATTAAATCTTATTAGTGAGAGATGCCTTACAAAATGGCAGGCTGAAATATATAACTTGCTTCACTGTACCAACAGATGGCATAGTCACTCTGAAACAGCGAAAACTCGCTTTGACTGTTGAATAATGTTTTCATTGACGAGGGCAACGGTYAATTCCTAGAAATTYAAATATCAAAATACACTCAACCGTTCTATTTACCTAATTCAAAAATTTTCAAAAAATAGAAAAAATACTGAATACTTCAAAAGAAGTGCAAAAATTACTCATTTGAAAAAACAAACAATAGAGACTATAAGCCMCATTTCCCTAGCGACCGCGCTAGGAACGCCTAGTCGATAAAATCCTAGGCTCATTCCCCACACGGTTATTACCATTATCCTCACGGTCGTCGCAAGGAACGCCTGCTAGATATCTGGGCTTGCATARACGGGGTTCACAAATTCATGGAATTCATCTTCACGTACGTCCAATCCATCATCGGTGATTGGTGAATACTCAAACTTATGRCCACATATTCCTGAAGGTGTGAGYCCACAAGTKGTCTCGTYRCCAGGTTCCTCGCATTCCAAGATGGGCGTCCGCTGACCTAAATCTGAGCCCACGTAGATCGGATTTTCTCTGCCGGAATAAGGATAATAGATTGGTCCATCTTCGTCGTTATCAAAGTCATCAATTATTGGTAGATTTGAGATTTTGATRGTCTGKTTTTTTCTATTGTAGATAGCTTTTGGAGATGGTTTTAGCTTTTTGACCACATTTCTCCAGAGAACGCTGAATGTTATGGCGGCCAAGAGGAGTATTAGGGTCACTACTAGGAGAATTAACCAATGGGAATCGATATCTGCAAGATAAATGATAGACATTGTAAATTCGAGTATGATCTGAACAATTATTGGACGAGTCTCTGTATGATATAGACAAATATTGTTTGGCAGTGTATGATATGAAGACTTATTGGTTGAGGCTGAGTATGATATAAAGAATTATTGGATGAGGCTTAGTATGATACTAGAAGAATTGTTGGTTGAGTCCTGTTTATGATATGAACAAACATTGGTTTAGGATGAGTATGATATGRACAATTATTGGATGKGGCTGAGTATGATATGCAGAATTATTGGTTGGGACTGAGYATGATATGAACAATTATATGTTGAGGATAGAGACGATATCAAGAATCATTATTGGTAAGGACTAGGCTATTTTGAATGAATATCATATGTCAGAAAGCTTCATTTCTTACCACCATTGTTCTTCGTTCGTCTTGTTTTCTTCGGTGAAACAACGTCACATTCACCTTTCATGCGGGCCACGCATGAGCAGTTAGACCTCGTTCTACCCATTCTACTGCGCATGCTCTCATAGTCGCATATTCCCARTTGTTTGCATAATTCTTTCAAACACAACGAGTCATCGCTGTCGTTGTACGTRGCGTCTGTTCTGTTTTTGGGCRTATTTTGTTTGTATTTTTCTTTTAGTTTGTTAATTGTGTTGAAGAACACRYTGCTCTTCTTTTTATGTCGATGTATGGCAGCACTCTTTTTCGAGAATATTCGGTGCGTTTTCGGTGGAGCTTCGTGCGGATGCTCGAAGTGTTTCGTATCGTTTTCGGATGTAGTCGATCCATTTCCTTGGGCAGTTTGTAGCTGTTTGGAAATTGTTGGTCGGATTTTKGGAGGCCTCGAACCTTTGTTATTTTTCCAGAACTTTTCAAAGAGGAATTTTTCGCCATTAACTTTCATTAGAAAGTCAAAAAGAAAATCATTAGATTCGTAGGATTAAAATAGGGATTCACGTGATTACTTACGTTTGATGCAATGCAATTTGTCAGTGGAATTCTTCATATCTTGACATGCGCAGCTGGTTTTACGAGKAGATAACAGGCAGAGATGACGGCACGTTTGGCAGCGATTGGGAACTATTGTGTCAAAGTATTGATTCATATAATAAATTTATCTTTTTATTCATCCATTCATCCTAAAATCCGTTGATTCAAACATCCATCCATCCCACTATCCAACCATTCATCAATGTATTACGTCATTTATCCATATATGCATCCTCCCATTCATTTATTAGCTCAGTTCCATCCATTCATCCATTTATTAATTCATCCCGCATTATAGCGATACTCAATGTGACGTCAGTCTTTGTTATTCATGTGCCAAYCAGAAGACGATTGGCTGTTAGAACAAAGCKRCTTGTGAAAARCCATTCTGATCATRTTTGGCACATTAACATAAGGCTCTTTCGAAATAGTTCTCTGTGTCATCTAGAAAGGTAGCAGWGCCTTTGCATCGAGACTAGATGAACAGTGAGMGTGAATCGAAAACTTTTCTCATCCAAAACCAATGAAATCTCATTGGGCGTCTCGTTGATGCAAAGACACGATAATCTTTCAAAATGGCGCCGGGAACCGCGAAAAAGAAGTGATACAACTTTATAGACATACTCTTTTGCTGTAGTATATTATGGAATACTCTCACGTTAGTGATCGGCTTTGCAGTTCTCAGAAGCTGTCGTCTATCATCACCAGTCCTCTTGTCCGCAATCTCCAAACTCAACGCTATTATATCGGTCCAAATCACGTGATCTCCAAATATAGCTATRGAAAATGGATGCGACCGCTTTCCAATGACTACTGAACGTCGGTTGGTCCCKTTGAGATTGATACTCTGAAAATAAAAGAAGCTCGTGATAGTCTCCATTGCGGTTGCCTGAATAGGAAGCCGGCCGTGCATTTGTATCGATGGAGGAGCGTACAACGATAGATACCTTTGAATAATTGTTAAAAGTTTTTATCATTTCGTTGAACGGTCGTCTCGCTTCGATGCAAAAGCAYTGTTGCCTTTCAAGGWCTTTCRAGATGACGYAGAAAACTGTGAAGRAGATCSTWAAAGGTSGACTGTTCAAAAAGGGATAACGGAATATTTTTTARATCAGTTTTATTTTTCTGTTATTACAAAGTTCTATTTTATTTTATTTTTATASTTTACCTCGATGGTTCCTCGTTTCCCGTCAGCCCAGTATAACCGGTTATTTGGTAAATCAAGCGCCAAGCCATTTGGCCACGTGATCTTTGACGTCACTAATATTTGTCGGTTCGTCCCATCCATGTGGGATCTTTCAATCTTGGCGACTTCTCCCCAGTCAGTCCAATACATATATCTACCGCATGCGCAGATTATTAACAGACATTAAAAGAAGGTGTGTCACGTGTTCCACACATGACATAGTACGACGCAAACTCATTATATATTCTAGACATACCCATGCTCCGGGTCCAAAGCAATWCCACGTGGTCTGTCAAGGCCCGTGTTCACCAGTACCGCGCGGTAATGTCCAGATAACGAAGCAACTTCAATGGTATCCTTACCGTTGTCTGCCCAGTAAAGGTTCTTGCCGATCCAGTCCACTGCGATCCCATCAACTCTCTCTATTCCTATTGATTACAGACCAATCGAGGACATTATTGACAGATTACAAAATCGAACAGTCAAGGTGTGATAGTCAAATAGTCACAAAAGAAAACAATGGAATTAGAGACTACTAAAGTGTATNCCTCCCAGCCCTCCCTCTCTTATCCCCTGTCTTCCAGACGCCCCAAACTCACCAAACAAAAGAATTTGAACGTCACTCCAAAGTCCGTGTAAATTAGCTTTGTAGATCACCTTGAAGATGTTATCTGCCCAGTAGACAGTCATGGTAGTGTAGTCATAATCCATGCCTCCCCCGTCKCTAGGTACAGGCARTAGTGATGACGGGGAGTACTTGTTTGAAGGTAACACGAATAACCGCTGACCGATCATGAACAGAAGCTCGTAGTCTAGAGGAAAAAAAAAGTGGTTAAATAAGAAATATTGATAAAATCATCGTCAGCATTATCACCGTCATCATCACCATCATCACCATTATCATCATTATCATCATCAACAGCAACATCATCATCATCACCATTATCATCATTATCATCATCAACAGCAACATCATCATTACCATCATCATCATCGCCATCATCATCACCTCCATGATCATCGTGATAATGAAGTGGCTTCTAGAATGTGGTTAAATCTACAGTGTAGCAACTTTTGATTGCCATTTTGCGTTTACCCGAGAGAGAACGATTAAGAGAGGTTAACTGGATACTCACCTTGTATGTCACACCCATAGCCGTCACTTGTCACGTTATACCCTGTCACGCAATCGCAAGCATATCCACCAATGGTATTTGTGCAAATCTGGCTACATGCRTCAACACCCTCCTCACATTCATCGATATCATGACAGTTCTTGTTATCAGAACCCAGAGAGAAACCAATAGGACACACGCACAGGGGTCCCCTTGGGGTATTATGACAATGATGAGAGCATCTTCCATTCTTGAACGAACATCCATTATTTCCTAATGAATTGAAGAATCTTTTGTAACCTTTAGATTGCGAATAATAAGAATATAATTATATAAAAGATATTTCACTTGGAATGTCCTCTTATATATCGAAAATCAATTGACTCCCCTCCTCCCCCTCCCTCCCTMCCCTCGAATTTGAATTTTTGYATGTKAGAAAATCGCGCAAAGGATCTCGGATGCACGTGACCATTWTGCTTTGGGGGCCACGAGGGCCTGGAGGCGGCCATTTTCAGTTTACCGAAAGTCTATAAATTGTACTGTGCGTTTCAAATCTTTGAACATCTCACTTTTCTATGCACTTTAAACGCTAATATAAGAGTTTTCAACCATCTGAAATTCGTTTTATGGTGATATTTGGATACTAMTACTAAGTATTTAAGTATGAATAATTAAACAATAACAGAGGCGCGCAAAGCATAATGGTGCAAGGCCTTTAATTTCGAGGGCCCTGCACGGAGGTTAGTCGACCGAGTTCCCATTGACTGATGTATTATTTTCCATTGTTTTCGGTTTCATTTAATCGTCAAACTTGCTGTATATCTAAGAGAAGAGCTTTCT